AAAGTTTTTCTAAAACGGTGTTTATGTTTGTGTTAGTGCTCTGGAAAAAAGTATAACAAAAGCATTTATAAAGTACAATTGCTCAAGTGCTTATTTTCATAGCATGTAGCACATGCTAACAGTTAGCCCCTACAGTGTCTATTGTGGTCAACATTTTACCTTAAAGTATATCAAAAGTCAGATTTTACTGCGATTTCAGGCCCGTTTGCTTTTGACAAAGGATATTTATTTGTATTCATACCACCAGTTCAAAGGTTTGAAATACAATCTTACAAATATTTACCCATGAGGCAAAGTAAGAGATTGTTTTTAGCTGATATAAGAGTCCTCATACTCAAGTCCAATGAAGAAATATGCCTGTAGCTCTGTAACAATATTCATACATTTGTACAATAATACAAACATCATATTTCCAGCCATAGTACAGGATGTACAGTTTGGTCCTGACTTTTTAATACAATATTCTACAACAAAAACAGTTGAAGGCACTCTTGAACATGTTGTGTTTATACATTTTGTCTCTCCTTTATCTACTTTTTTACAATAAGTTTGGCTGAGCAGAACGCCTCCCCTTGGTCATTGGTGGCTCTGCAGGTGTACACGCCGCTCTCCTCTGGGCCCACTTTGTCTAAGACCAGTGTGCAGCGGCCATCTTCATCATACTCTATCTGCTTTGAGGGTGACTCCTCCACATGTTCTTCACCACACAGCCACACCACCTCTGGGTCTGGGTACCCTGTCAAGATAGATGGGGTGAGGACAGGATTAAAGAGCAGAAAAAGTACTTCTGTTTTCTTTTAGGGGAAGTTTCAGTTGCGAGTTGATAGCAAGTCTTTCAGGCCTGAAAACTAACCATTAAAGGTGGGCTAGGTAATTAGCTCCAGGAACACTTTTTGGACATAATGTTGTGTATAGCAGTGGGTCTAATATGGGTTATGCAAGGCCAATTTATTAGATATTGTCCAAAATTTGTGATACATTTTTTTGCTTTTGCTCTTTTAGTAACGGCTCAATACATGTGCAATAATAAGTCAAAGATGAAAACATTGCTTAAAGGTCACCTATTATACAAAATGCACTTTTGTACATACATATGTGTCCCCAGTGTCTAAGGAGACTCACGAAGCAATATTGCAATATTGCCCACACTGGAGATGTATATTAGTTATTTAGAGTTTAGTGTTCAATGTATTCAATGTGTTAAATGTATTCAATGTGTTAAATGTATTCAATGTAGAACTATTCAAGTATTCAATGTAAGGGATAGTGGTGGTCTAATGGTTAGGGAGGTGGGCTGAAGATCGGAAGGTTGTGGGTTCAAATCCCGCCAGGAACACCACCATTAGTGTGCCCTTGAGTAAGGCACTTAGTCCTTAGTTACTCCAGGGAGAATGTCCCTGTAATCGGTAATTGTAAGTCGCTTTGGATAAAAGCGTCAGCTAAATGAAATGTATATGTATATATGTATGTATTCAATGTGTTAAATGTATTCAATGTGTTAAATGTATTCATTGTATTGTATTAAAATAACTATCCAAACATTTTATATGTAAGTTATTTATATGTATGTAAGTGTTGTCTCGTGTGTATGTACTGTTTGTGATCGTTGTTGTGTCCTCACTCGTGGCCTGCACCATGGGCTTTAAACTTAGACAGGCCATTTTTGTTTGAAATATCATGCTAACAAACCTGCAATTACAGAATTGAATGATAGTGGTTATATATGTTCATGTCTTGCTGACATTATTACAATTTTAAAATGGTTCTCCTCTCTCCTGCAGTCAGCTGTGATTCCAGGTGTCCATGCTGCCGCCCGCCTCCCCCCCCCCCCATCCACCTCCTTTCATCATATCCAGTACCAGGAGAGCTAATCCAAAAACCTCATCACACCTCCTCTTCATCCCATCTCCTCATCAAATCCAGATCTTCAGCATTATCACCAGTGTCTAACATGTATCATATGACATGTGTCAATAAATGTTCTTTAAACAAAATGAAGTCTCTCCTGATTGAACTGTCTGGACCCCATCCTCAACTTTTTTCAAACCATAACATGCCTTCAGAGGGCTTTCCTGTTGATAATGTTTGGTGGATTTTTTAATAGAATAATTGTAATCAATATTATATTACCTTTTAATCTATATAAATTGTATTAACATTTGTTGTCACTATTTTTGTTCACCTTGTTCTACTATGCCAGCCATCAGAGGTATACATTTGTTAACATCTCTTTTAGGTTTCATTTCTTATATTTGTGAATTTCTATATAAAATGCTAATTTCTACCTGAAATGCTTATGTATTTTTAATTACATTTTCGTAAAGCTTTCACTTTTTCAGCGGAATAAATATTATAACTGGTTTTGTTCAGCATTGCCAGCTTCACTGTTGAGCGTGATGTTGTGCCCAGCATTCTCCTGTCCTGTGCTCTGAAATCAAAATGTGGATAAGAATAAAACAACACTAAAATAAACACTACAATACAACTCGTAAAACTTTTGAAAAAACACAAGGTTGTTCATTTGTGTGTATACATATACAACACAGGCAATATACATATATATATATACAATTATAATTAATACAATTGTTAATTTGATTAGAGCTTTGACACATATCTTTATTGGTATAAATATGACGACTTAATATATAGTCGGCCTAATAGCAAACAGCTACGTTCAACTCTTTTAATGGTATATTGCAAGTGTAATAAGAAGCTACAGGAACGTTAATCTACGTCGGTAATATTATTAACTTTATTTAATACAACATTTACGGTACAAGATTTACATCATAGCCTACAGCCCATGTAGTATATTATTTTACAAATGATGAATTACAGCAAACATGTGCAATATATCCATTATTACAGCTCCGTGGGCTGGCAGTAAGGCGATATGGTCCGTTGTTATTGTGCATCCATGGGTAAAGATAAACGCATGTAGTGCTGAACACGTCACATCACATGAACGTGCCGGGCAGCGCGGTCCCGTGGGTTAGATGCGCGTTCATAATGCCGAGGGAAATAACTCTCAGAATAACGTTATTAGCACATTTCTACAACTTGAGGAACGAATGTTTTTAATAAGGGCTATACAAGTGTTCATACTGGATTGTTTATTTAGTTTAAAAAAAATTATCCAACGAGTTACAGACCACTCTTTCCCCATGTAAGTCAATGGGAAAAAGTGTTTCCGGGCCCAGCAACCAAACGGAAGTGTAGTACCGCCGTTTGGCCACTACGAATATTCTCATCAGACTCCGGCGCACTTCCTGGGGGCTTGCTCTGATCTCATGCTTCTTGACCATATTCTTGACATGAGAGCAGTTTCCCAGCAGAGTGAAGAAAACACATGAAACTCATGGGACTCACTCCTCAGTTTATACCGTGTTTTGTTTCAATTAATGTTAATCTAACTGGGTATTTCTATTGTGCACTCGAATCAATATTAATCAAACTATTGTTCGTTTATACATTTTAAGAATGGCGTTTATCTTTTTTGAGAATGACTTCTTATTTTATTTAATGTATTTGGATCTACAACAGATGATACAAATGTTTTGTCAGTAAATGTGTACTAACAGAGGCGGGGGTGTTTGTGAAAACAACGGGGACAGAGCTGCTGTCAGACGAACAGCTGTGCGGCGTCATCACTATGGGCATAGATATGTCTCATGATTATTTGTGTGAACATACAAATAATTTGTGTGTAAATATGTGATTTGTAAATGTAAAACAACATCCACAAATGCATTTAAAAGATTAGCAAACTCACAAATACATTTGCAAGTGTAAAACGGATCTGCAAATACGTTAAATATGTTCACAAATAAAAAAAAGATCTATGAATATCTCTTTAACATTTACACCTTTCGATCAGGCATTTGTATTTGTGGACCAAAAATGCGCTTGCGGATCTCAAATCTCTGTTCACGGATCGTCTTTTTACACACACGGAATTTTGAGACATATTTTCCGCCGGTCTCGGCTAAAATCTACTCGTGTCACTCGGTTATTTTCAAAACCACGTGATGGCCTGCTGATGACGACAATTCCGCATGATTTCAAAGTAAGAGCATGATGGTTTGTTTAATGCTCTGTTTTTGTATTATAATGAACAGCGGAACGTTAGATGTATTCTTCACAGCCTGTCCTCCTACAAAAAACGACCATATAGGCAGGGGTGCACATGACTTTTTTGCCCTGGTTCTCAAAGGAGCACCTGGAGATGTTGCTTGGTGCTCATCCTTAAAATGAAATAAACCGTAACTTTTGAGGGGGTCTTGACTTTATTTGCCAGACACACGGCACTGAACACACGTGCAGAGGTGAACACAGAACACACATGCAGAGGTGAACACAAGACAACATTAGCACGACCAGTAATCCTATAAGCTGTCATCACTCCCCTCCTGACTGTTCTCCTCACTGTCTTCCTCTCTGTCAGACATGGTAGCTGATGATGTAGGCCTACTACTTTCTCTCTGGTTGAGTCTGCGATTAGCTGCTGGTTTTGGGTCGAAAGTCTCTGTTGTCATCTTAGACAAGTGGATGTAATCAAATAAGTATGTGAACATAACCAATAACCTACCATAGCAAATAACAAATTAATGTAACTTATTTTATTTATGTTGTTCATTCATATCTTATTTTACCTTAACATTTATTTATGTATGCATTTTTTTTTATCTCTCCAGTTTTAAAGGATATTTTTGGTTACTGTCCTATAGTATACATTGGAATGATTTCAAACCTGTTTATCCCAATAATTATAAAGGAGTGCCTTGGAAATATGTGTTTACATAAATTGTGACCAAACCGTTTGAACTTAGACTAAAGTGAACTATCTAAACGCTCAGAGTCCTTTACCTCACTGAGCTGTAATATCAGCCTCTCAGTCTGACTGGAGAGGACTCTCCCTCCACATCATTGTAGAAACATCTTCTTCTTCCGTTAGAGCAGCTAGCACCAGATGCTAATAACAACAGCGCCGGAACCGGTGTACCCTCCCTCTCTCCCACGCTCACTCGCACTTTGGCTGTGAGCTGCGGAAGCCAGATAAGCCAATATCCCCCATTCTCGTGGTTTCCTTGCGTCCCTCCATGCTTCCCTGGAGGGAGGGACTAAACACAGGGAAACGACGCAAGTGAGGGAAGCAAGGATTTAATTTAACCGACCTGAGACGGGGCCCAGTTTGGCTCATTTGACCAAGCAAATGCGAGAGACGGCTGAGTTGACCGCCGGTGGGAAAAATAACACTGAGGCGAAGTTGCAGAACACTGAAAAATAAGTATTGGAGCTGCGTAGCCTGTCTGGAGGTAAAAGAAAATAAATGATGTTAAAGGATAAAATCATGTATTTGTTTTCACTTTTAAATGTAATGTGTTAATTTCATGGTCTCAGGCAAATCTCAGGTCGGTGGCCTTTTCTACAGCTCTCGTGGAATCTGGCTCGGAAACCATTCTAATAGGCTACACCACTTAAGTATAAGAGGGTCATCTCCATAAGAGGGTCATCTCCATAAGAGGGTCATCTCCAACACTGGAAATAACTACAATCCTACAACAGGTATGTTAACAGTTAGAGCGAAAAAGAAAAAAACACAAACAATGGCTCATAACATTCAATCATTCTCCTTATTCTTGCAGGCATATTTTCAGCAACCGTCAAAGGAACCTACTTCTTTCGTTTCACGATGTACAACAATGTTTCTCCTACTCCAAACTCTGTTAGCCTAATGAAGAATGATGTGCGGCTTACGTCAGTATGGCACACCTCAGGGTCTGATGCGAATGACTGGTAGCAACGCTGTGGTTATCCCCCTCGAGGTGGGAGATCATGTGTATGTGGATCTCCAGGCAAACAGGATGGTCTATGTCTGATGATGCCATGGGCTACAACACCTTCTCTGGTTTTCTGCTCTTCACTGAATAATCTGCATGTGTGTTTATACTTTTAAAAGGAATATAATCTCACTTTATTAATGCTGGTAGCTGGTAGCAAAAGCCTAACTACTGATTTGCTGTGCTGAGAAAATCAATAAACATAGTTGTAATAATGATAAATATCTGGCTTTCTCTGCGCCATCTTTATTTTCATTTGTGTGTTTAGACTTTTTCATGTGTACAGCTCCAGCACATGTGAAATTCAATTGTGAAGTTTTGTATTGAATGTATAACTGCAGTAGAACAATTAAATTAAAAAAGATGCTAATGAGATTCATAGGAGTTTATTGTTTTGAATAGATAACATGACTTAGTTTTGTATATCACCTGGTATAATTCAAGTGTGTTCAAATGAGCTCTAGAAATAAAATGTACTTTCTTATTTTCTTACCAACTTGTTTATTGACTTACTTTACTCACCATTTATTTTTCTCCATACTTCAACTTGAATATTGTCAATAGCATCTTCACGGACAAGAGAACAGGTGACTTTCTGGTTATTGAAATGCTTATTCTTGGATGATTGATATACTCAAACCTGGGGTATTTAGTAATCAGTTGATCTTTTATATGAAAAACCCTAATGTAACTTAAAAGAAAAAAATACATTAGAACTTTGTAGCATAGTAGAAGTATATGATTTACTGTAAAAGTATATATTTGTATATCCCTTGCACTTGATTCCATTGGTCTGATGCATTGATCTTTAGTCCATGTTTGTAGGTTAAATAAAACAATTGTTTAAAAAGCTAAACTAAAACCAGCACCAACTTCGGTCTTGGCTCATTTTGCATTGTAAGTATTCAAATTGTGGAAATATAGACTTTTGTATGATATGATTTGCATGACAGGCACATTTCATACAAGCTGCCCAGTGGAAAAACTGACCAAAGTCAAGTGCTTTGCTTGTAATGACTTTTAAATGTAGTTTTTAATATAAGTTGGACTGACCTAAACACTCCAAACATTCTGATCAAAATAAGTAAACTGAACAAGTGTCTCCTTTTTAGCTGTTAGCTGGCACAAAGGTCGTCTGATCCTTAATCGACACTGTTCTGCCAAGTTTAACAAAAATTATCTTCCGTTTTAATTTTGATATTCCACTAAAAGTTTTTCTAAAACGGTGTTTGTGTTAGTGTTAGTGGTCTGGAAAAAAGTATAACAAAAGCATTTATAAAGTACAATTGCTCAAGTGTTTATTTTCATAGCATGTAGCACATGCTAACAGTTAGCCCCTACAGTGTCTATTGTGGTCAACATTTTACCTTAAAGTATATCAAAAGTCAGATTTTACTGCGATTTCAGGCCCCTTTGCTTTTGACAAAGGATATTTATTTGTATTCATACCACCAGTTGAAAGGTTTGAAATACAATCTTACAAATATTTACCCATGAGGCAAAGTAAGAGATTGTTTTAGCTGATATAAGAGTCCTCATACTCAAGTCCAATGAAGAAATATGCCTGTAGCTCTGTAACAATATTCATACATTTTGTACAATAATACAAACATCATATTTCCAGCCATAGTACAGGATGTACAGTTTGGTCCTGACTTTTAATACAATATTCTACAACAAAACAGTTGAAGGCACTCTTGAACATGTTGTGTTTATACATTTTGTCTCCTTTATCTACTTTTTTACAATAAGTTTGGCTGAGCAGAATGCCTCCCCTTGGTCATTGGTGGCTCTGCAGGTGTACACACCGCTCTCCTCTGGGCCCACTTTGTCTAAGACCAGTGTGCAGCAGCCATCTTCATCATACTCTATCTGCTTTGAGGGTGACTCCTCCACATGTTCTTCACCACACAGCCACACCACCTCTGGGTCTGGGTACCCTGTCAAGATAGATGGGGTGAGGACAGGATTAAAGAGCAGAAAAAGTACTTCTGTTTTCTTTTAGGGGAAGTTTCAGTTGCGAGTTGATAGCAAGTCTTTCAGGCCTGAAAACTAACCATTAAAGGTGGGCTAGGTAATTAGCTCCAGGAACACTTTTTGGACATAATGTTGTGTATAGCAGTGGGTCTAATATGGGTTATGCAAGGCCAATTTATTAGATATTGTCCAAAATTTGTGATAAATCTTTTTGCTTTTGCTCTTTTTAGTAACGGCTCAATACATGTGCCATAATAAGTCAAAGATGAAAACATTGCTTAAAGGTCACCTATTATACAAAATGCACTTTTGTACATACATATGTGTCCCCAGTGTCTAAGGAGACTCACGAAGTGTCGTTTCACGAAGTGTCTCTCGTTTCCTCCTTACCCACATATCTAAAAATGGGACTTGCTGCGTACTTGACGTCATTACTGAAATGCGGGCTGGCTATACATTGAGCTCCTGGCAACGTAACGCCCACGTCCCAACCTATCGTCCCTCATATACAGTCGGCTAGCTGAATCCCCTCCCACAGCTGTGTGTCTGTGTATTCAGCAGGATGTCTACGGGAGGGACTTAGAGTAAAGTTGTTATATATATCATTCATATGCCACTGTGCTAGCGGTAAACCCTGAATTAAGAACATGTCAAGCTTTGTGCTGTATCAGAAACAATCCGCAACATGTTTTGGAAGTAATATGGTCTGTGTTTATATTAGCAAGCATCGCTAACACTCAGAGCTAACACTGTACTGGCGAGAATATGGGTAAAGAAGCCGGATGTAAAAGGTACTATCCTTGTGGTAAACCCGTTAGAGAGAAAGCATTTGAGCTCCATACTGTTTCAGAAATAATCCTTCATGTGGTTTGGAACATAATATGGCGTTTAATCACGGCAGCATTTAGCTGCCGGTAATCAGCCTTTTATCTCACCGCTTGCTTGCGGCAGCTCGGTTATATTTAACCTGTTAAGCCCCAAGCATGTTTTTTAGGTTTCAGGCTTGAAAATGACATGCCCAGAACAAATGACATATATAAATATATAAAAGGGGTAAATTAATAATCTTTTTTCTCAAAGCAATGATAAACCTGTGAGTTGGATGTAGAAAAGTCAGAATCAATATAGATGTTTTTATTTTAAAGTAAATTCAGATTGAACGTAGTAAAAAAACTGTAAATTATAGTCTCCGTCCAAAAAAAAACCCATTACTTAGTGAAAACCACCCTTGAATGATGGGATAGTAGACTAAAAGCTTTAGGAATCCAAACTAAAACATAATAAGTACCCTGTGTAAATTTGACCTTTTTAGAGAGATTTAGAAAAAACAAAACCCACCTCTGGGGTCCTTTGGGTATATTTGCCATATCTCTGGAATCTGTTGAGGTCTCCATATTAAGTTGAATAATTCAAACGAAAGTTAATATAATCAAATATATTTTTGTATAACCCACAATGAAAATGCATTATATATATATATATTTCATGTTGTTCTATAATCACAGTATTTACAAACACAAGGGGTTTGGTAAATTGAGTTTAAGGCCTATTATAGTTTAATGTCACAACTGAGGTGGGCCAGTTGAGGTTAGAATTTAAATGTCACAACTGAAGTGGGCCAGTTGAATTTAGAATTGAAATGTCACAACTGTGGTGGGCCAGTTGAAGTTAGAATTGAAATGTCACAACTGAAGTGGGCCAGTTGAGGTTAGAATTTAAATGTCACAACTGAAGTGGGCCAGTTGAAGTTAGCATTGAAATGTCACAACTGAGGTGGGCCAGTTGAATTTAGAATTGAAATGTCACAACTGTGGTGGGCCAGTTGAAGTTAGAATTTAAATGTCACAACTGAAGTGGGCCAGTTGAAGTTAGCATTGAAATGTCACAACTGAGGTGGGCCAGTTGAATTTAGAATTGAAATGTCACAACTGAGGTGGGCCAGTTGAAGTTAGAATTTAAATGTCACAACTGAGGTGGGCCAGTTGAAGTTAGAATTGAAATGTCACAACTGAAGTGGGCCAGTTGAATTTAGAATTGAAATGTCACAACTGAGGTGGACCAGTTGAATTTAGAATTGAAATGTCACAACTGAGGTGGGCCAGTTGAATTTAGAATGTAAATGTCAGAACTGAAGTGGGCCAGTTGAAGTTAGAATGTAATGTCACAACTGAAGTGAGCCAGTTCAGGTTAGAATTCAAATGTCACAACTGAAGTGGGCCAGTTGAAGTTAGAATGTAATGTAAGAAATGTAAAACTGTGAATTGAGGTTTTATATTAGAAAAGGACCACAGCATGATATATTTCGTATGATTGTCACATTGTAACGACAGAAGGTAAAAACCCTGTAAAAGTGTGGACCATTTTCTTCAAACAAAATCATCCCACCTTTTTGGATTGGGATAACTTAAAATAAATCTGCGCTCTCCTCTCCTGCTTAAAGGTAAGATTGCACACTGCCACACTCAGGCAGGGCCACACCTCATTACTGATACCAGAATCCTTCGGGATCGCTTATACGGATTTAGTGCGTCGTCTGAATTGAAACAGCAGTTAATTGAACCTGGTTCTTCAGGAGTTAGTAGAGGTGAGACCTAGCTGATCCAGGTGGATCCGAGCCTGGCAGTAAACTTACATAGACTCAATAGCTTCTGTTAGGTTAATTAGTAGGTCTGAGTAATTGCCGGCATAAATTAACAGGCCTCCCGACTCAAACAAACCCATTGGTCGATTTTGGTGATTGACACCTCTTTTGAACCGTGAGAGCCAATAGAATCGAGGGGGGGTTCCTAAATCCATCTAAACATTACCATTGAGGATTGAGAGTGATGCACACGCAGTTTGCCCAAACTGAAAGCTATGTTACACTCTATAGAAAACTACGTTTATTGCCATAAATATGATGATGGATTAACCTCTGGATTTAACTTCAGCAGCGTTTTTCTCGTTTGAATGCCATTGAACACAACTTTTGATCAGAACAACAGCTAAGGTAAGACGTTTTGGCTCCGTAAAGCACATTTATTTGTTGTTGTTTCTTGTCGTTTGGCCGCGAGTTCTGATCGCTCAGTGATGATACTTATATGTCTGGAATCTGTGGAATCTCAGCTTGCTAATCGACATCTTTTTGTGCAGATCCGATAAGTAATAAGGGTATTTTACCTTGAGTTCTGTGCTAAGTGCGTTAGCACTTTTTCGCTCAGGTCTAATTCAGAGCTTTTGGTATTACCATTTTGTTTTGTTTAGATAAAAACGGTTAATATTGTCTGATAGCTGAGTTTCTTCCCGTTAAGTGGGTATGACACATTCATAGTTTGTTAAATATTAAGAAGCCCTCAGACGCTGTTTCTTGCAAGATGTTGTGTTTTGCCCCCGCCCGCGGGGCCGTGGGGTTTAACTGGTTAAAGGGCCAGATTCAGCGCTTTTGTAACAGGGCTGAACTAGAGGGGTATAAAGCATGGCTACAATGGGTAATCTGTTTGGTATTTTGCGCAAAACACTTCAGAGACGTGTTTTGTATAGATTTGGACCTATATTATATTGTTCAAATATAGCATAAAAGGTGAGCTTTAAGCTCTTGACTGAAGTTGTGTGTACCTGTGAGGTGACAGGAGAGACGGGCACAGGATCCCTGAACTACTGTAAGGTCCTCCAGGCTCTGGGTGAACTGGGGTGGCACCTGCATCTTGCGCTCCAGAGACTGCAGGGCGTGCTCCGCCTCTGGGCTCAGGGGTAAATCTGGGACAGAGGGAGGAAGAAGGAAGTAAATAAGTGGTGGAAAACCCCAGGATTGTTTTCCTTCAACTTTAAACCAGGAAAATAAAACGATCCTGATAAGATAAAATCAGAATGTGATTTGTCCTACCTTCTCCAGGGCTGGTAGGCGAGACAGAGCCGTCACCTTTAGACAGCAGAGCCATTCTCTTCAGGGCTAACAAGGCCTTCCCTGCTTTCTATGTAACAAAAAAAGTCCGGGATCAGAAAACAAAAACACCTCAAACTCACAGGTAAGCATAAAAGTACTTAAAGACCTTCCACTTCTGCTTGGCTAGAAACCTCTTCATCTTCTCCTTGGACAGGCTCTTGGTGGTGGCAACAGCTCCAGAGTCAAATGCCATCCAGGGGTGTGCGAGTGCTTCCTCACATGTCATCCTCCGCCTGGGAAAACAGTGTTACAGATGGTTAAGGGAAGACACTATAGGTTTATAAAGCCTCAAGGTCAAACGTTTTTACAGAGGGAATTTTGAATATTTCTTTGTATCACTCCATAAATCAGAAAAAACGTAATCTGCACGTTTAAAAATACGAACGAGGAACAAGTGTTATATAAATCAAGCTATGAATGTTTATCTAGGTCTTCTTCAAAAACCTTCATATAAATATACCTTTGTAAAGTTTGACGTCTGTATCTAGGCAAGGCAAGTTTATTTATATAGCACCTTTCAACACAAGGCAATTCAAGGTGCTTTACAAAAATGAAAGACATTCAGAAAAAGGCATTAACAATATGACTGATCCCTTTCTTTAAGGTTCCTCCGAACATGAGCTGTGTACGCTTGTATGGCACATACGCCCCGAGCAGCATACACAGAGAAAACTAGCCAGGACATCTAGATTTCTGGCTCATATGAGAAAAAGTAATTTAAGAAAAAAAGCCATACAAATATTTCTATTGTAGAATTAAATACATTTTATTATTAAAGAAATGATCAAAAAACAATTGTGTGTGTCTGTCTGACCTGGTGTCCTTGCTGAGCAGCGAGCTGATGAAGTGTTTGGCCTCGTCTGTAATCTCATCAAAGCTCTCCTCATCAAACTCCCACTGGGCAGCTGTGACCAAGGAGAGGGTCTCCACATCGTTGTTACCCTGGAATGGAGACTCACCACTGAGTCTGAGGAGCAGAGAGAAAAAACATTATACTCACGGTTTCAACCTAAATCCACTAGGTGGCATTATAAGTCATTCAAAAAGCTGCAGCCTCATCATGACAAACATCAGCCCAGTCCTATCAGTCGAATATGTTCTATTAAGTTGTTATCAGAAGTTTGTTGATTAAGGGCCTTTTTATTATTCAGATTATACCAATTATTTGTTTTTTTGCTAAGAGATGGATGAGTAGTTTAATTAACTCATAAGGACCCACCGTTACACAGGTGTCACATGACCTTTACATGTTCTAGAAAGTTCCTTAGACAGCTTTAGCCTTTATTTTATCTCATGAAGTCCCTAAGCGACACGCACTGAACAGTTTGGTGGGTCATGGTCCAGGACATGTGATTTTGTGTTCCCATGACAACTTGTCCAAGATGTCCATGTGCCAGAACTAGCTTGTTTTTTGTTGCTAAAGGTAAAATTCAAGCCATTTAAGAATTAAAATGCTCACATAACATGTCCTTTATTACATTTAACCTGTTTTGGAAACATTTCTTCATCAAATTGATATGAAACAAACATCGCTGTGACACTGATGTCACATCGGGACTTTAACCCTAAACATTCACAGTAAACCCGGAGGGACATATATGTACAATTAGAAATATTATGATCTGCTCAGTTAATTTAGCTGATTCAATTATATTGAGTTAATATATTCTTTATTCTTCAATTCAAAGAATGTTCAAACTAATTTAAACCAAAAAATCTTCCTCCTTAATTAAGTTATAAATAACAGTTACTTTACCATTAAAGCCCAATTTGACATATATGTCACTTTTCAGATATTTGACACTAGGGGGGGGTTTCTTGTCAGAAATGTGTTATTGGTGGTCTATTTAGTCTAAATTATGTTCCCCTTAATTTCCCCAAAAGTAGAAATGGGTCCGGGTTCTTATGACCAGTCTTGTGTCCATACCGTTAATGAAGCCACTCTCAGCAACAGGTTAGCTTAGCACAAAGACTTGAAAGAGCTAGTTTTTCCCTGTGCAAAGGTAACAAAATCCAACTCTGCACCTAAGGTGAGTTTCCGAAATGTCAAACTAAATGTAGAAAGAGCCATGGGAGGGGCAGTGGGACTCACAATATGTAGCAGATGACTCCTATGCTCCACATGTCAGTGAACAAACACACAGGCTCATAGTTGATCACTTCAGGTGCCACAAACTCTGGAGTCCCATGCATCACCTTCAGTGGTGTGTCCCCTTCTGTTGAACATAAATCACATAATTATGCCTCCACACCGGCGGCATTATGTTTGACAACTATCCTGACTGTCCGTACCATTCTTGTGAATGCAATACCTCTGAAAAGCCTTCAGGGAATTTATTTACATTTTAAACATTTAAGGGTGTAGATTACATTTTGGTGGTCAAAGGTCACTTTGACCTCATTCCATCCCTTATCGTAAACATGATAACTCAGGAATGCATGGAAGGAATTTCTTCAAATGATATATCCACTTGGATTCAAGGATTATGATTTAGTGTTCAAAGACCTAATGTGCATATTATGACAATTTGACGATGGCCAAAAAAGTGATGACATTTTGGACAGACATTCACATACCAATCTTGCAGGCTAATCCGAAGTCAATGATCTTCACGGAGGTGCCAGTGGTGTCAACACACACAATGTTTTCAGGTTTCATGTCCAGATGGACAATGTTCTGCTGATGCATGAAGGCAATCCCCTCCAGGATCTGCTGCATGTAGCGCACACTAGCAAGCTCAGTGTGCACAAAACTGTCGTCCACAATGCGTTCAAACAGTTCCCCGCCTGCGATACTGCAGACACACAAACAACAGCCACAGTATTGTTATACTTCATTTTCTTTGTATGCAACAAGAATTTGCAGGTTTCCAACAACGATCGACTCTCACGATGATACTCACAACTCCATGACCATGACCATTTCAGGCTTGTGGTCGTATGCTGCGAGACACTGCACCAGTTGGGGGTGGTGGAGGAAGTTCATCAGCTCTATCTCCTTACGAGCAGCCTCCCTCTCCTTGGCACGTCGACCTTTGTAGAACTTCCCTGCACACACACGTCCCGTTTCCTTGTGGGTTAACTTGAACACCAGGCCGAACTTTCCCCTAATGAAGAAACACGTTTATTTTGTTATCTCTGAGACCATAAATCAAAAGGTGAATGTTAAACAATACTTCATCTGAGATCTGTTATTGTTGCATTCCTTAATCTGTCAAAGGAGAAAAACGCCCAACATTTCTCACCATTGAAATCAATGTTGTTGTTTATAGATAGAATCATGTTTCTGCATGCATTTTAATCATCGCTCTGTTGTACTTGGCTGATTTCCCCAAATCCACGAGGTCACCAGCTACCAAAGAAATGTTTGTGTTCAAGCTAATTGGATAAAACATGTTTGAGCCTGACGGATACTCACATTCCCAGTTTCTCCTGCAAACTGTAGTGATCTGTGACTTTGTGTGAAGAGTCAACAGTGACACAGGAGAACGCTTGAGGGGTTTCTTCTTCTTGTGGTTTATCTAAATACACAGACAAAGGCACAACAGCTGTAATAAAAGCCTCAATAATTGGGCTCTAGATTTTGTGGTATGAGTAACACACGTTGCCTCACCATTCTGCTCCATCCTAACTACTGGTGACACTGGTCCTGGCTCACTGACTCCCACTGCGTTGTAGGCCCTCACTCTGAAGCAGTACTCCTGTTGAGGCAGCAGACCTGAGCACACTTTGTATGAGGTACTCTTACACTGGGCGGTGAGCTCGGCCCAATCCCCAGGATCAACACGTCCCTGGTTCTTCACTTCAACCACATAACCTAGGACAGCACTGCCTCCGTCGTAGCAGGGGCCGGACCAGGAGAGCACGAGGCTGCTGGGAGAGACGAGGGAGATCACGGGACAGGAGGCCGGAGGCTGGGGGGGCTCTGGTTGGATGACGGTAAAATGAAGGGTCAGGTAAATGCAAACTTATATCACTTTGTACTGACATTGCATAGTGTGTGTTGCCTTACCTATGACAGAAAGAGCAACCGTGTGTTGTGCAGAGCTCTTGCGATCCTTCACTACAACAGTGTAGCGGCCTGAGTGCTGCGGGTTAGCCTCTGCTATGACCAGTGTGCTGCTCTGATCTGTGTTTTCTGACCACAGCTCTGGACCATCCACTATCTGCAGAGTTTTTTAAAATTATTATTCAAGCCAATACAAATTATTCTTTTGAAAATATCCAATAGTTTGCAGAATAAAACAGTCACAATACATGTGAGGGCTACAAGCCTCACAAACGAACACACATCCTAAAGGTTATGCTTTTGTTTACATCAGACATACACATTGATTTGAAACTGCTTTATTTTTGCTAGATTGAGTGCATGCAATCTTGTTTAAAATATCTATTGTTAATTGTGTTGTGTGTAATCCTATTGTCTCTGTGTTGCAGCTCACCTTGCTCCTGGCAAAAGACTGAGCTGATGGAAAACACCTGCCTTTATGTGTCAGCTAATTGGACTACGCCATTCCTCTCAAACCCTGAGGGGTGTTTAAAGAGGCCACTCCATTTAAGCCACCCCTTTTTAGAGCCTCTTCCCCCTCCCTGCACGCAACAATGGACTGGCCAGTAGTGCTATACATTCCTGCAGTGTGGAGATGAGGGGGGGTATGTGAGTTGCTCTTGGGCAGAAGAGCACACAGGATGTCACCCATTTTTGTGACGTTTTGTTTATGCGTTAAATGCTAGATTGTGTCTGTTTATATCTACACCTTTTTTGTTTAAACCTAATTGATTTTATTACCCATCTTAAAACTGTACATATATTGGGTAAATCAAATCCTTATTTTTGCACCTCAACCTGCATACCTGATTTGTGCGTACCCTGGTCCTTCACAACCATCAGTTGATACATTAAATACCTTTGTAAAGGTAATTTCATTTAAAGAGGAATGTATGCTTTCAAAATCCCACACATTTTTCAAAACATTGAAACACATTATACTTATATTTTATATCTACTTATCTCTAAGACAATAAACCCTCCTTCCTCTATCCTACGGAGCCCCTAAGGCAGCGGTCCCCAACCTTTTTTGCGCCACGGACCGTTTTAATGTCAGACAATATTTTCACGGACCGGCCTTTAAGGTGTGGCGGATAAATACACAAAATAAAATGATACAACCGGCATAAAAACTGGTATTTTCATAAATATAATTTTAAACGTGAATCCACTGTGTACTCGTATGCAACTTTATTATCAGCGACCTCGGAACATCGCACCAACAACATAACATGAGTAACATCCTCTCTGTCCCCTAACACTCTCTGGTCGCTATGGTAACGTTTAAACATGCCTTCAAAATAACATACAACACAAAAACAAATATAAAGTGCATGAAAAATACAGCTCACCATAACGCTAAATCAGTGGGAGCCCTGAGCTTGTTTCTCTGCAACGAGACGGTCCCATCTGGGGGTAATGGGAGACAAGGACACCCGAAGTGTGTTGCTTATGTCCAGTCTACTCCGTAATTTTGTTTTGGTTGCTGTCACTGCAGAAAATCCCGCTTCACACAAATAGGATGTCGGAAATGGCAACAGGGTTTTCAGTGCTGTTGTGGCGATCTCAGGGTATTCTGCCGTGACTTTAATCCAGAACACCGGCAGAGTTGTTGTCTCGAACATACTTTTAAGGCCGCCGTCATTTGCGATCTCCAGCAGTTGATCTTCTTCTTGCATAGACATGCTTGATTCACCTGGTTTGTTGACAAATGGGTCGCGGATCCATTCCTTGGCAGTTCGTGGGTCTTTTGTGGTTGGGAAGTAGCGCTCGAACTCTTTTAAAAGCAAAGACAGGTGATCATGCACCATCTGGGAGAATGAAAGCTCGGGCTCAGTCTCTTCCAAAATCCCCGCGAATGTTTGAAACATGTCAAATATACCTCTGTTCACGCGCCGTCCCCACAAATCCAGTTTGGCTTTAAATGCAGCTACTTTATCTGCCAACTTGAAGACAGTTGTCATTTTCCCCTGAAGTGACAGATTGAGTTCATTGAGCAGGTTGAATATGTCGCACAAGTAAGCGAGTTTTGCGACCCATTCCTTGTCACTGAAATGTGCTGCCAGCGGTGACTTCTTTTCTGAGAGAAATCTCTGCAGCGGCTCTCGTAATTCAAACACTCTGGCCAGCGATCTCCCTTGGGATAACCATCTTATTTCTGTGTATAAGAGAAGGCGTCTGTGCTCCGCGTCCATCTCCTCACAAAGCTGCTCGAACAGGCGCGAGTTAAGGGCGTGTGCTTTGATGTGGTTAATAACTTTAACGACATCATTCAATACGCTGTTAAGTTCCGGTGGCATTTTTCGGCTAGCCAGCAATTCCCTGTGAATGACACAATGCGTAGACTCACATTCAGGTGCGACCTCCTTAATCCTAGTAGTTAAACCAGACAGCCGTCCGGTCATGGCAGCAGCTCCGTCTGTGCATATGCCGACACAAAAGGACCATTTCAGTTTTCCTGATATATAATCATCCAGCGACTTGAATAGTTCTGCGGCTGTGGTTTTGGTTGGCAACGATAGAGCACATAACATATCCTCATGCACATCCTCCTGATAAAGATATCGCACATAAACAAGTAGTATTGCCTTGTTGTCAATATCTGTAGACTCGTCAACCTGGAGTGCGTACCACGGTGATGTATTAATCCTCTCCAACAATTGTGTCTCAATGTCCTCTGCTATTTTCTCAATGCGCCGAGTGACGGTGCTAGCCGAAAGAGGCACCTGTGCTATCTTTTTAACCGCAGCCTCTCCTAGAAGTTCACGGCAAATGTCTTTAGTGGCGGGCAGGATCAATTATTCACCAATGGTGAATGGCTTCTTAGCCTTAGCAATACGGTGAGCCACCAAGTATGATGCTCTCAGTACACTCGCATTTGTTGATGTGGCGGCCCTCAGGAATTGCTTCTGTCCTTCTTGTTCATGCTTTTTTCTTTCAAAATACTCCGAAGGCTTGTCTTTTAATGCAGGGTGCTTGGTCTCCAAGTGGCGAAGCAGTTTTGAAGGCTTCATTGCCTCATTAGAGAGCCGGTTGCCGCATATTATGCAGAGCGGGCTTGGTGCGCGGGCATCACCTGTTGCGATAAATCCATATTTTAAGTAGGACTCCTGGTATTGTCTGTTAAATGCAGCTTTTTTTTTTCTTGGAAGTCGTAGGCTCTTCTTCTGTCTCCTCACTGGGCCTTTTTCCCTTCGCAAAGAAACTTTCCAAAGATGTTTGTTTTTTACTCATTTTGCTAGTTTGTGGGTTTCCTTTTAGCGGCAACGGATTAGCGGCATAGACGGATGTAACAGAGGGAATCCGGTCAGTTTTCAAAATAAAACATTGTTCAAACTCAGATAATAAATAAAACGGAAGTTATTTATTTTTTCTCTGCGGCCCGGTACCAAATGACCCACGGACCGGTACCGGTCCGCGGCCCGGGGTTTGGGGACCCCTGCCCTAAGGGACATGAACAAAAATAAAAGAGAAGAGAAAACATTTAATAAATCAGGATAACGGGTTAGTATCTCGTGCGAATGACAGTGCATACATTATTTGAGATATATTTCGAACTCGGACTTAATTTTAAGGACATTTCGCCCAGGGGTGTAGAGCTATTTGTTTAAGCACCGGATTTGCAAAACAGGACAGTCTGTAAACCAGTCTGCCTTGATCTATGAATTCCTGTCCGTGACTCTCACAGTATCTGCTGCCCACAGCTGTTTTATAGAAGGAAAACCTCCTTCACTTCATGAAATGGCTGCAGCACCAGGAGGCAGAGGGACGTGTCACTCAGCCTCTGAGAAGTGCAGCTCCACCGCGCAAAGAGCTGTGCCTTTTACACACCGTCTTCACTGTGTTTACCTTCATTAGAACAGCTAAAGAGCGACCGCAGGCCGCTACGTTTTAACCACACACACCTCTACACACATCGAACTGCCAGATTATTACGCCCTATTATTAGTTTAATGAAGGAGATGTCGGGTCACCAAGGCGCATGATATGTGTCTGTTTGTGCTCTGCTCAGCTCCGCTCTGTGTGTATGTGTCGGTCTCTCTAGAGAGAGAGAGAGAGAGAGCAGAGAGAGAGAGAGAGAGTACGTCGGGAAGAGAAGAGAGAGAGAGAGGTAGAGAAGAGAGAGAGAGAGACGAGAGAGAGAGCTCTCTCTTCTCTCTTCTCTCTCTCACACTATCATTCTCTCTCTCTCTCACTATCATTCTCTCTCTCTCTCTCTTCTCTCTCTCTCTCTCTCACTCTCTCTCTCCTCTCTCTCTATCTCTGTCCCTATAGGGCAGGGGTGGCCAACCCGCGGCTCTCGAGCCGCATGCGGCTCTTTGCCTAGTTTCATGCGGCTCTTCAGTTCATATCGAATTGTATGTGTGAGTTTTGGGGGAGAGGCACTGACTCCTGACTAGTGTTGCACTGTGTACCGATACTTGAAAGGTATACCCTGCCGTTAAAAACGTTACGATTCCTCCGTTTCATTAGTATCGGTACTTTAAGAGTGACGGGGGAAAGTACTCCGGTGAGAAAGCGCTGTTTTAATAAGAGCCGTGTGTGTTCAGCGCTCTGCTTCCACTCCCTGCACTGCAGCCGTGCCTGTAGTCCCTCCCTCTCAAGCACGCTCTAAGTCCCTCCCCTCTCTCGTGCACGCGGCCACGCGCTAGCTGCCAGAGCATGTGAGAAAACGAGAAGCATGGCTGCAAGTGGGAGTGCAGCTGCTGCTGCGCCTCGGCTTGTTGACAAAAAAGACGCCAGAAGCGACATTTTGATGTATTTTAGCTATATCTCCGACAGTGAGGGCAAGCCACGGACACCACGAGGCCTGTCTGTCAGACATGTATTAATTTGATTTAATACGAATTATTGTCCTTTATTTTATTTATTGTTCTCATTGTTTAAAAGTTTGTGTTATGGTTATGGTTCTGGTGTGAAATAAAGCACAATTACATTTAAGACTGTTTCCCTTTTTTTTAAGAAAAAGAATCGGAATCGCAATTCTTGACTTGGTATCGAAACCAAAATGTTGGTATCGTGACAACACTACTCCTGACAGTTAAACCTGATATTTAGTAGGTCTGTTAAGTATTGAATGCTGATCATTCTGACGTAATTTGGCCGCTCAAAGTTGTTTGGGCTCGGATAAAATCGCTCCGGCTCTCCCTACGTGTGTATGTGTGGTGTCAGGTGTCAGTATGAGAGGATGACAGGCGTCTAATTTTGATGTGGCCCAAGAGCCAATCACAATAATACCTGCAATGCAGTGAACCAATCACCTTTGAGGGGGGGGGAACCTATCGTTGATTAAACACTATCCAGTGTTTCCCCTACCATTGTCTTGGAGGGGCGCTGCGCCCCGCCAACGGAGCCCCGCGCCCCACATGAAATTCAAGGTGTTATATATATATATATAATTTAAAAAAAAATATATATATATATATATATATATAGCACCAAATTGCAAATAATCTATAACTACTGTCACTTTTCACATTGAACATGTGCTCTTTTATTAAATAAACTAAACGCTTTCATCTTAAATTGTGGGTTTAGTGTTTTTGACCCTAAGAAACACTGATGCATTAATCAATAACAATAATCCACAGCTCCTCTCTCTGCTCCAGAGGATTTTAAAAAAAAATATCCCAATGCCACAAAAATGCATCAGTGACGTGGTTGAAATCTTGTCTCCAGAAAACTAAAAACTGAAACAATATCAGTGACTGTGTGTTTGATGTGGCTCTTTGCAGTAACATAGAAAACATGTGGCTCTTAACCTCTGACTGGTTGGCCACCCCTGCTATAGGGGCTCCGTACTATCCCACCAAAATAATTTGCTTACATTTCATGACCAAACATACAATTAAACAGTCAAACTTTTTCCTTACTTTTACAATTAAAAAAAACACAAATATTTACATCCACTGTTAATAAAATGTCTCTGAAGGAAGTAAAAGACTAAGTGTTCCAAATAAGGAAATATTTCTAGATCATTTACATAATAATGAAATATGATCTTGCTAAATAAATGAAAATACCTGATCCTTTTTTCTGATCCAACACGACACGACAGGAGGACTGCCAGTGAAGGAACACGTCAACCTGGCAGTTTGTCCCACCTTCACCTCCAGGTGTTGTGGAGGGTTTTCAAAACGTAATGCTGGACCTTCAAAGAAGAATAGCAAAGTGAGCGTTTTGACTCGGAGCCTTGGTTAGACTGAAGGCCTTAAATGTCACACTGAAAGGAAACTATCCAGTACTGTGTCTGAGAGAGATAAAGACAGAATGAGAATGTGGTTTGTCTTGTACTATTGGACTGGGGTTGTGTTACTTCCCTCGAAACCCTTATTATTATACAGCAAACTCAGTGTCTCAACTGGAAACAAATACAAAACACAGATGATATTTTCCACACAGTACCTGGGTTTTGGAGCGTGTTCAACAATGTTAAACTAGTTCATGATAGAAGACACCTATGAGTCCCACTTGTTGTTTTCAATATATAACTAATTAGACAAATATCAAGCAAACACACAAAACACATTTTTTTCTTTTTTCTAACCACATATTAACAATAGACTAGAACAATTCCATATATGAGCATAGAGTCAACATCATCACTCAAACGGTCAGTATTCAAATACTGTGGCATCAATTTGACTGGAGACATCTGATAGGCTTTACAGTTTATCTATTTTTATCAATTGTTCCAATCCATCAAACCACCTTTTTTAAAGCAGACATATCCTATGCACTCATAACTAACATTCAGACCTTACTGTGTTCTCTTTTCAAGCCTTTATTGTTGCAGCCTACACCCTGAGGTTAAAGGTTTCCAGTGTATTGGATAACAATAGATCAGAGTTAGCCAACATTATTTCTATAAACAAAGGCTGAACAACAACAAACAAATTCCAGGGAAACCAAAACAGAATCAGAAGCAACTCACACACAGAAAAGGCTCTAATGAAAAAGTTGAATTGTCATGAACAAGCAGAAATCAGACAATATAGTATTGAATACTAAGAAATGGAAGTGTAGGTGGACGATGGAAAGTCCGATGCTTAGTCATCTGGCAGAGAAAGTAAATGAGGAAAAGACTTCTCACCTGTCGCTGAGTTGGCTCTCTTCTTTGGGATGACTTCTGCAGAGACAGATGAAGCGCAGGTAGGTTTTAGTATATGGTGGAGGTGTGGCTCTGCTGTTCTATTGCTATCTGTTCACACACTCAGCAACTTTTACTGTACTGTGCACTGTCCACTTCCCTACATGGCGCTCACTTGGGACCGAGAACTTTTAGTGGGTGTATATCATTATTGTGGAAGTCCTACATTATCCCTTCATGGCGGACGTACAGCCTGACAACCAATTACACAAGGACTGGAAATGATGCGTTTCCTACTTGTTTGAAAACCTATCATGGATGTCCGGAAGAAGTTAAAACAATGGAAAAGAGGCCTTACATGTCTTGGTGCATCAAAACATGTAAGAGAGGAAGGAAGCTGCATTGTACAGTATGTTCAATTTGGGAAATGAATGATTTACCTCTTGGACTGGAGACCGGGCTGAGCTTATCAGAGCCTGCAGTGGAAGAGCAAATAGATCCTCTGGTCTTCTGTTGCTCGTCTTTGGGAGACTGTGGTGACCTTCCATTCGGCACCATGCTCTTGGATGGAGAAGTTTGGATATTTGAGACACGACTCTGCGACCCGCAGATAGTTTCAAAGTCTGGATTGGTTTTTGGTAGAGGAAGAGAAAAAGGAAACGCAGAACACAATGAAACTCCGAACTATTTTGACCAGAGTAACTAACAGAATAAATATTCCACATCTTGCATTGCAACCTCCAAAAGGCAGAGTTTATGGGCTTCAAATTTGTATTGTAGACTTATGTTTTAATGTCCATTAGCAGTCTCCAGTGTGTCCCAGTGTCTCCCTCCTCACCTCTGACATACACAGCAGCACAACAGGAAGTCTTCCCTGCACTATTCTCTGCCAAGCACGTGTAGGCACCCGCATCTTCAGGCAAGCACTCCCGCACCACAAAACTCGTCTCCCTGCCATTAAAGGAAGGTTTTCCAAAACGGGCCACTTCACCTGACCATAGGAGGAGAAACAAATTAGAAACACTTGCATTCTCTGGCTAGGGAAATTCACGAGGAAAAGACAAGGCATGTGAAGGAAGGAAGGGCTGATATTGACAGAAGGGTTTAAAGGGGCCCTATTATGATCATTTTTGGGATTTCATAATTATATTGTATGCCTCTAATTTGACATGTTTACATGTTTTAATGTTCAAGAAGTGCTTTATTTTTCTCATACTGCAGCATCTCTTTTCACCCTCTGTATGAAACCAGAGCCCAGTCTGCTCTGATTGGTTACCGGTTTGCTCAGTTGTGGTTGGTCAACCGCTTAGAGATGTCCTGGCCCTTAGCCTATCAAGCTAAAATGTGTGCAAGGACGGACGCAAAGGACCACCATCAGCGTTTCAGCGTTTTAGACTTTAAAGACCTTTGCAGGTTTTATTTATGATAGATATCCCTCCAAATTGACAAAACATTTTGGGCTAAGTGAAGTGTAAAAAGGTGTAGAAAATGTGTCAAAAATACATCTAGAAAGTTTACATTTAGTGTAAAGGTGCAGACATGAAAACATACAGTACAATAGTCTGTTATATAAGCTTCGTTGTGTTGGGATGAGCACAAACAAAAATCAGTACATCTAAATAGGAAAAGGAGTTGATCTAAGGCAAAACTAAAGAGTTCAAGAGGTTATCTGGTAGGATAACGACCTGTTATATAAAATATGAGTTATTGACTGTATAAGGGCCTTCTACTTTAGGTCAACATCTGACCCCAATCGATAATCAAGATGTAGCAGTTTAAATTGTTCACTCACCATTGTGCAACCATGACACTTGAATAGGCTGACCTCCAGTCAGAGCCCCCCGCAGTGTGACGTCATTTCCTTCGTCCACACAGCAGTCCTGCAGCGGCTCTATGAAGACGGGCAGATCCAGGCGTTTACGAGCGGAAAGGTTAACAGACCCTGAATGTGGAGTAGAGGGGTGAAAAAAGTGAGGGGTCAGATGCACAAAGCAAGAGCAACACACACAGAGTTGTAACCCCTTGTAGACGATGCAGTTCTGTGAAGTCTTAAAACCCTTGATAAGTGTGTGTTGCTCTTCACAGAACTGCATATAGGTTTAGATAAATCATGTTTTGAATCGTCTTATTTTAGTTCTTTAACTCGCTATTTATGATATATTTATGACATCAATTTTGGCCACAAACTTTATTATAGTGTGTGTTTTTACATTAATTCATACCTTTTATCATCACACTCATACTCTTAAATTAGAAGTAACACCCGCTGGAAGTGCTACAGATGTGATGGGTGTGTATGTTCTATCCTCTCAGCTAGCCAAGCTGTTACAACACTTTTACAAACACATTTGAATTTGTTCTTCCTTCTTTCTTTCACATTAATTATAGTCTCCACTGCCCAAAAAATACCAAAGTACTGACATCAGACATCTGCTTTTGTGTTTCTTCTTTGTTTTTTTAATGCAGTAATGATATCAGAGATTAATCCTTGCTTGAAACACGGGGGATGGGTACACCAAGGATCTGCACTCCCCCTGATGTAGCGACACTTCATTCATCAAAAGCACATCATCTGCACCACAGGCTGACATTGAGTGGTATCACCAGTAAAATGCATTGTTATTAAAGAGGTCTACAGCTGTAGTAAAGTCACTTTCTGAAACATTGTGTAAAAGAGGTTATAAATACCATGCACAGTAAACTAGTTATGGTTTAACAAAATATATGTTTTAACAATCAACCTTTAGTCAGAGTTTACAATCCTCAAGTATTCAAGATAAAGCTGGAGGCAGGCACTATTCAATCAAGTGCTTTGAGTAGCACCTCAGCACACAAACAGGAGGAGGATTTTTACACCCTTGTCACATCATGACTCTTTGACCCTTCCTTTGACAAGACTTAAGCAGACCTAAAAGCTTCCACTGGCAGGTCAGTGATAACCGATAAGCTGAACTAAAGGCTTACAGGCTGCTCTTATATCATTGAAAATGGCCATGCTGAAACAAGTCTGCTTTTATCGGTTCCTGATGTTTTAACATGTAAAATATAATGTACAAGATTGTCATCTGCCAGACAAATGTGGGTCATAACATCTGCCCGATGACGATTCACACTGAAAAAAGAGTACTGTACTTTCGAGTTACTTGTATTTACTTCAATCACTCATTGTATGCAGCTTTGCATTTCTACCCCAATACATTTCAGATGGTATATTGTACTTTCTACACCACTATGCTTGCCTGACAACCTTAGTGGCTATTCTTAGTTGCCCCATCCTGTGCAGTAAATAACAAGTATCTCCAGATGTGAAATGTCTGTGATAAACTGAAGGGAGAAGTGTTTGGTAAGAGATCTGATCTGCTTTTTAATCCAAATAAATTGTTTAAAAGGCTCTTGAATCTGCTGAAAATACATTGTCACAAAGCTGAAAACAGCTTTTAGTTTAGTTTACACACAATGATGCAGCAGCAATATTAAGCCAAACCCATCATAATTATTGTACGACCATGACAGTAACTATTTTACTGCACGATAACTACTTTCGCTTTATATTGTCATTGCAAATAACACCCAGTTATACTTAAAATATTTGATATTCAGTGTGGACATGCAAAGCAATCAAGTCAAATATTTGGCCATTTCAACACAACCCTTAATATTGGCTTAGAAAAACAACAAACATAACACCAGGAGAAAATAAAAGCAAGGGTGTTTTTATAGTGCACTTTACTTTTATCAGGAGTCATCACCATGTTCAGACTTGTATATAATCAAATATGATATTTAAAACATAATTCCTAGCAATTGAGCTCTTTCCAACACAAACACACACCCTGAACGTATTAATCTCCTCTCTCTGTCACGCAGCCCTCACCAGTGTCAGGACATGTGTCTGCGATCCTGCTGTCAATAGTTCCCGGCCCATTCCCTGATGTAGGCGATGCACTGGGCTGCTTGATGTGCATCCTGAAGGTTGACACATATCGCTGTTTGCTGCCATCACCATTCATTTCTGTTCAAGAACACCCCAGGCCTCTGAGTGGAAAAACAAATAGTTCACACAGTCATTTCCCAAGCTGATTATCACACTTCCCTTCTCTGTCACTGCCTCTGCAGCTCGCTCTGTCTCTCTCTTCTGTATAACCAACACTCCCTCACACTTCTCTGCACATGTTAACCTCTTTTCTCACCCTCCCCTTATCTACACAAACTCCACCTACATCACAAATCTTTCTCTTTGCTTTGGCCTTTTTTTTTTTACGCACAACAGGCTTATCTGTCAAAGTTACTCTAATGCCAAATCTCACACCCACTGCTCAAACGCCTGTCTTTATTACCAAGGCTAATAGACACACATGGCACATAAACAAGGAAAGGCAGAAAAGAGGGAGAGTGGGAGGAAAGGGGGGAGGACTTATCTACCCGCCCAGCCAAAGGTCGTATTGTGTGCTGTTTGTCGAATGCGCTGCTGTTTATTGATTTCCCAGTTTGCCCTCTCACTTATCAATGCTGCCACTGAACTTTGTGATGTCAGTGACGCCGGCGTTGCAAAGGTTCATCTCACGCCTGTGGATTGTTAAACATGTGATTGTGAACGACAGGCTTGTAAATCCTATTCAGCTGAGGTATATCCCAGCACACACAAGGGGGCTATTACCACGGTAACAGCGTCACTTGAACAGATCCACCTGCTCCTATGGAAACCAGGGATGTCTCAAGAGGGGGCCTGCTGTTGTTCTCATGATGAACACTTGCTGTTTAGACCCTACAGATCACACAATCTGCCTTATACATTATGGGATGGGAGGACATATCAACCTCAGTGAACACAGCAGAAGCCCTCTGAGGTGATTATAACATCTCGTTCCACTCCTGTCCCAGACCCCTGAATTCCACATCAGTGATCACAGAGAAAAGCACTGTGAGGGGCTTGTTTTAGTTTCTGTCAGGGAGGAATTCCCAAATCAAACATTTACAAAAAGGCTGAACACACAGAGTCACCATTGTCAGGATGATGATTTTTATACATTCAGTTTTGGAAGTAGATTTTGGCAAAATGTGTGGAATTCCTAGCTTTTTAAATATAGCAGAAGTTATATTCAAAGTGCTGAAAGTAGCCTATAGCAACTTCTTCTTCATATCACATTCTTTCAAGTTTAATCCGCACATCATTGTTTTGATTTCACTAATTTTGTACTATAAAAAATTAGAGTTACTCAACTGATTACGAAACTATCCTAAAACTGCTGATAAAAAAAAAACTATAACCTTTTTCATACACACCTTATTAACTACCCCCATAGCCACAGGCTCCACCTTGCAAAGTTATTCAAAATCTGTCATATCTGTCAGATTATGCATGGCACCTTACACACACCGTTTGTGTGAGTGATTCAATTAAGGACTACAATCTGTTAGCTTTGGTGATAATGGACCCTGCAGGTGAAGCTAATAATTGTTTCGTTATTATGAGAAGATTGTCACAGTACCAAAGCAAATAACCATGAGCTTATGTTTATGTTTATGTTTATTAAGGATCCCCATTAGCTTTTGCTCTTGACAAAAGCTACTCTTTCTGGGGTCCGACACTTAAAACAATACAACAATAATACAACAACATTCAAGACATAATTCCTGACATCATTAACAACATCACCAATATCATCAACAATTTCCAACATCATCAACAATGTCATCCACTCTCAATATCAATCTCAACCAAGGATGAGTGCACTAGACACCCACCAGTATACAAAGCATGATATCAAATGAAATTAGGGTTCACAGCTCACAAGGGTACATGGTCATTAGTAGATGGGCCTTCAATCTCTTCTGCACATAGCTGCACATTATGATTGACACATTACCTCATGAGGTCTGACTCAAAGCTCTAAATCAGGGGTTCCCAACCTTTATTGTGCCAAGGACCGGCAGATACATTAAAAAAAATCGCGGACCAGTTGTCAATTTTAACTGATTTTAATATTTACTCACCAGCAGGTAGCAACAGAGGCTAATTGTATGTAACAGCCTGAACAAATACTAGAACAATATGCATCCAAAACATATTAACAACGTTTAAAAAAGAACCGGTGTCGTTTTTTGGTTTTTCGGAAAAACGGAAAACCAAAAAACCGACGTTATTCAGTTTTTAAACCAAAACGGGAAAACAGATAAATCAACGTTTTCGTTTTGTTTGTATGATTTACGGATAATCCAGTGATGGGTGTAACTGTCTTCACTTTCTGTTGTTCATTTGTTTCCACGTTGTATTTTTGGTTCCTACCTTTTATGTGCAACATTATTAGAGGCGGAACTAATCTGCTGTGTTTTATGATACACCTGTTTAATCGACGCACTGGATAGTTGCAACGGCAGAGCAACGCAGGACGTTAAAGGAAAACTAAGGAAACCAAGGGAAAATGCATATAAACTAAAGTTATCAGCCCCTCTAGGTGACTAGCAGCCTACGAGGTACGTTTTCGTGCTGGTTGTTTGTGTAATTGTGTGCTGTTGAGCTGCAGGTTTGTGTATGTATATATGCTATGCGCTAGCTTGTGCTACATGCTATTGTTAGCTTGTGCTACTTGCTGTGTGGGATATGTGCGCCGTTTATTGTATAATTGGCGGCATTAACTGTGATGACATATGCATATATTACATATTTATTTATTGTTTACCTTTTATATATTTGTTGTCTTACAACCCAGTTATCACGGGTTGGAATAGGTCCCACAAGAATAAACCCCGTATTTAATCAAGACCTCAGCCTCGTGTCATTTACTGGAGGGAGCTACAGTGAGAACTCGACTGCTCCGCATGAGTAGACGAGTATAACGGCGCCAGACGGCAGCGATCCATGGACGGCACGGGACATCTCCGTCGCAGCGTGTGCATCTGTAGCAGCCATCTACACAGCAGCACAAGATCCAACTATTTCTGGAAGGTCCAGGTGTTTTAGTGTAAATGTAGGTGCAACAAAGAGACTTTAAAGTGCCATACAAAGAAAATGGGACATTTGCATCGTTCATATACTCTGTGTTAATATGATTTACTTACCTTTCTAATGGAAGTTAAAGGTTGTTAATATTGATTTGTGTATTAAGATATCTGCAGTAAGTATTTGCAGACTAAGTAACACAGTACATTTAAAGGACAATATCTTTCAAGTAATAAGTGTTAAAGAAATGTACCAAGTTTTTTGTTGTTTGCTGATATCATTATCACTTGTAATTTTCATTTAAATAAGACTCAATAGCTGCGTATAAGCTTAAGATAACTCAAAGCTAATATCTAAATTGGCTAACTACTTAGCTTTAAAGATAATTAAATATTAGAGTTAAAAACAAACTTAAGTAAACAAGTAAAATGTCAGATGTTGAGTCTTACACTAAGAGTGATGAAGTGAGTGTAGTAGAAAATGAGCAACCACAGGCAACTGAAGATCTAAAAATGAGTCACACAAGAGCCACAAAGGAGCCAAAGAGTCCGGAAGTTAACGGAAAAGGGCCAAGAACTGCATGATGAGCAAGTAACAAGGCTTGTACACCGTTTCAGTGTGAGCTACAAAAGGTGGAAAGATATCACAAAGGAAGCCAAACAAGCGCTAAGTGGTCAATGCTCTAATGATCTGCTGCATGAATACATCACTAAGGTAAGGAAGACCTCCAATGATGTGAATATTGCTTATGAGGAGTTGAGGCTCATTGACATTCCCGACCATGAAACACGTCGCAGAGAAGACACCTGTGAAGCCGTTACAAAGACAACCATTGAGACTGCAAGAGAACGAATGGACACAAGAAAGGACAAAAGTCATGAGGAAGAAGAAATTGGTAAAAACCAGACAGTCTGTATGCAAATCTGTTGCCTCTGTTAAGAGAAGTAATGGCTCTCATGGCACCAGGTCCTCGACTCATTATCGTAGCAACTCGAGAGCCACATCAAGAAGTTCATTCCTCTCTTCTATCAAAAGACAAGAAGCCGCTGCTGAAATTGCTGCAAATGAAGCGACTTTAGAAGTAATGCTAGAACAGGAACAACAGATCGAAGAACTTGGTATACTGGAGGCTGAAGCTGCTCAGTTAAGAGCCAAACAGATTGCTGAAGCTGCTCAGTTAACAGCCAAACAGGAGGCAGAAAATGCTGAGAGGCAAAGAGAGTTACAAGCCAAGCGCAGACAACTAGAGCGATTAGAAACAGTAAATAAGCTAAAAGATGCAAAGGCGAGACATCAAGTATATGAACAGAATGCATGCTCAGACGAAGAAATTAGCGAGCTGCTCCATCAACATGTTCCTCTGGTTGTGAAAGAAAAACTCAAGCATAAAAGCAGTGAACTGCAAAACCACTCACCACCTCAAGCTGCAACACAACAAAAACAAGAAGACAGTACTTCAGCTCTTATCAGAGCTCTTGCAGAGTCCATCAGTGCAAGTCGTCTACCTGTACCTGAACCTATGGTTCTGGAAGGTCTCCTTTCGTACACTCGTTGACAGGAAAAACATCCCAGCTGAAGAAAAGATATACTATCTAAGAAAGTATGTGGGTGGACCTGCCAAGAAGGCCATAGAGAGCTACTTCCTGCTAGGCACAGAGTCAGCCTATCATTCCGCGTGGACCATCCTAGAAGAGAGGTACGGTAATCCTTTCCTCATTGCTAAGGCCTACAGAGATAAGCTTGATGCATGGCCCAAGATAAGTTCCAAAGACAGTGTAGAACTTCAAGAGCTCTCTGACTTCCTTCGCAGCTGTGAGGCTGCCATGTCACAGATCAAAGGACTTGAGGTACTTAACGACTGCAACGAAAACCAAAAGATGCTTGCTAAACTTCCAGACTGGTTGACCTCAAGTTGGAACAGAAAGGTCACAGAAATGGAAGAACAAAATCACGCGTTCCCAACCTTCAGCCAGTTTGTTAAATGTATCACACGTGAAGCCAAAATAGCTTGCAACCCAATAACATCTCTCCATGCTCTAAAATCAAGAGAAAGCAAAAAAGGCAAGATTTTAACGAACAGAAGTCCTGTATCAAACGTATTGACTACAGAGACAAATGAAACAGCAGACGCCACAAACGGTCTTTTCTGTGAGAAGACAGGACACGGTCTGCACAAATGTTACAAATTCAGGAATGAGACAATCTCTGAGCGAGTCAAGTTTGTTCAAGAAAATAAGTTGTGCTTTGGCTGTTTAAAATCTGGCCATCGCTCAAAGGAATGTAAAAACAGAAAGATGTGCGAAACATGCGAAAAGGGACATCCAACTTGTCTCCACGACAATCGCACCAGAGAAGAAAGAATGTCAACAAACCATGATGGTGCAAGAGAAAGCACAATGGAACGTCCACAAGGTAAAGCGGCAAGCACACCACATGAGGCAACATCCAATACAGTCTTCCAGAATGTTAAGGTCCCCCATACATCCACAATCGTTCCAGTGTGGGTGTCAGCCACAAGTGAGCCACATAGGGAAATACTTGTGTATGCACTCCTCGATACACAGAGTGACACAAGCTTTATCCTTGAAGAAACGGCAAAGGCTCTTCACACAAATAATGAAACAGTGCAGCTAAAGCTCTCCACAATGGCTTCAAGAAAACAGTCGTGTCATGCAGGAAGCTAACTGGTCTCCAAGTGAGAGGAATCTACTCGGACAGGATAATACCTCTGCCAGTAACCTACTCAAGAGAATTCATCCCAGCAAACGGAGAACATATTCCCACACCAGAGACTGCGAAAGCATGGCCTCATCTTGAACACCTCGCAGATGAGATCGCTCCTCAGCAAAGCTGTGATGTTGGCCTGCTTATCGGCTACAACTGTTCCCAAGCTCTCGTCCCAAGAGAAGTGGTGCCTGGTGAAGGAAACCAGCCCTTTGCACAGAGAACAGATTTGGGCTGGAGTGTTGTCGGCTTTGGCAATCCCTGTCTCGACATTTGAGATATGATTGGAGTAAGTCACCAGGTATCCGTGAAGCAAGTGGTACCAAGTCTCCAGTCTTCAAACCTCCCAAGGGAAGTACACTACGTCTGTAGAACACAGATTAAGGAAGTCTCACCTGCAGATGTCGTCGAGGTGCTGGAATCTGACTTTGTCGAAAGAGCTTCTGAAGATAACCCTGCAGATCAGGCCTCCAAAGGTCTCACAGCACAGCAACTTCAAGCCTCAAATTGGTTCACAGGCCCAGACCAGGGTTTCCGTTAGCCGGTAATTACCGGTTTTTAGCTGGTAACATTTATTAAAAACCGGTAAATTCAAAACCTGCCGGTCAAAATGTCTGGTAATAATTAGGGAGGCTCCGATAGATCGGCCGCCGGTCATTATCGGCCGATATTCACTCTTAATAGTTTGATCGGTGCTCTCTATAAAGGACGATCAGGAGAGCTGGATCTGATCGATATGGACATAAACGCGAGTGAAGTATAACCGGACACGAGAGAGAGATCAGATCAGCTGCTGAGTCTGACAGAGACACGCAGCTCTGCATGATCACCTGAAGCCCCGCCTCTGTTTAGCGAGCTGCATGAGAAACTGACGGGCTGTCAGGAGAGAGGGAGGGAGAGGGAAAAGAGAGCATCCGTTTCTCCCGTGTTATTATTCAAAGTTGATGTAAACTTTTGAATAATGTACTTCATCTACTACAAGTAGTTTGTTTGAATGTAATAATTATGTTGTTTGTTGTTTGTGGAATCATTTATTGGAAAATGAATCGGAATTTTTCGATCTGTTACGATTATAAACTGAAGCAATATAAAAACGAGCCCCATTAACTGAGTTTTAAACATCAGCATATCTGCTCATAGTCCGGTAATTACCTGCTAACGGAAACTCTGCTACACAACTCTTATTATTATTAGTGAAATATGACCGGTAAGTTTCAAATTTGTCCGATAAAATTAATTCTGCCCGGACATTTGACCGGCGAGAAAAAATCCTAGCGGAAACCCTGGCCCAGACCTACTTTGGCAGAAAGAGCTACCAAGTGGAGAAGTCAAGGTGGGAGAGATCGTGAGTAGTGACCCAGAGCTTAAGAAGGCCCAGGTTCATGATACCCAGGCAAACGAAGTAAAGTCGCTACTAGATCACCTTCACAAATTCTCAGACTGGTCAAGAGTGGTTAAAGCCTTTGCCAGACTCAAGCGCCTTGCAAAGGAAATGAAAGGTCTCAAGCCAAGGTCCTGTGAAGCCACACGCTTAGAGGAGAGGAGAGAAGCAGAGCTGACCATAATCAAGATGGTTCAAGAAGCAACACTCTCTCAAGAAATAAAGTGCCTTCAGCAGCATAAGGAGTACCATCTCCAACAAAGACCAAAGTGGATCAAGGACCGCAGAAACGTCAAGGTAAATGACGTTGTCATTCTGCAAGACAACACTATACCACGTGGCCAATGGAAGCTGGCCAGGGTTGTGGAAGTGTACCCAGGAGGGGATGGAAGAGTGAGAAGGCTCAAGCTGCTTATCAGCGACTCTACCCTGGATGTAAAGGGAAAGCGCCTCGCTACACCGGTCGTTGTTGTTGGAAGCAGACTAAGACTCAGTTACTCTCACTCACACTCTGCACTTAATAGGTCTAAAACGAAATAGTTAGTTTTACATTAATGTATATCGGTTTTTCTAAAAATGTTATGGAAATCACAGGTGATTTGGTGGGAGTGTAACTGTCTTCACTTTCTGTTGTTCATTTGTTTCCACGTTGTTCATGAAGCCTTATCTAAGCTAGATCCTAAGAAACCGGCTGGCCCGGACAACGTAGAACCTTTCTTTTTAAAGATAGCTGCAGATTTTATTGCTCTTCCTCTTACTACTCTTTTTAACCTCTCCCTCAGCACAAATGCAATTCCAAAAGTATGGAAGTCAGCTTATGTCTTGCCTTTACTAAAAGGAGGGGAGGCAACTATTTGAAATAACTATAGGCCAATCTCTAAATTGTCAGTTCTGGCGAAGGTGCTCGAATGCCTAGTGAGTGAACAGGTAAAGGAGTTTTTATGTAAAAATGATATCCTGTCTAAACATCAGTCAGGCTTCAGAAAACAACATAGCACCATCACTGCCACAATGAAAGTGGTGAATGACATTACGAGTATTTTAGACAATAAGCAGAGTTGTGCAGCTCTATTTATTGACCTTTCCAAAGCGTTTGATACCGTCGATCATCGCATCTTAAAGCAGAGGCTACTCAGTATCGGCATATCCAGCCATGCAGTGGGTTGGTTTGTGAACTACCTCTCTGAAATGTCCCAATGTGTTCACTTTGATGGGCTGTCTTCTGAGTGGTTAAACATTGCTAATGGTGTTCCTCAAGGTTCTGTTTTAGGTCCACTTTTATTCTCCATATATATCAACAGTTTAGTTGAAAATGTGGATGATGCTACTTTACATTTTTATGCTGATGATACCGTGATGTATTGTGCAGGTCCCTCCATTAAGGAGGCTGGTGTTAAATTACAGGCTGTTTTTAACATTATTCAGACTCAGCTTGCTGAACTTAAGCTTATTTTAAATGTTGATAAAAACCAAGTTAATGCTATTTTCAAAAGCTAAAAAGACACCAGAGCCTGTTTTGGATATTGTTACTATGCAAGGACAAGTACTTGAAGTGGTTACCAGTTATAAATACCTAGGTATCTGGCTTGATGATTGTCTTACTTTTAAACTTCATGTCAATAACCTGCTTAAAAAGCTGAGGGTTAGACTAGGTTTCTTTTTCAGAAACAAGTCCTGTTTCTCTTTTGAAGCCAGGAAAAGGCTAGTCACTGTGACCTTTTTACCTGTGCTGGACTATGGTGATTTGATCTATATGAATGCACCTGCCCATTGCCTGGAAAAGTTAGATGCCGCCTATCACTGTGCCCTGAGATTTGTTACTAACTGTAAAGCACTTACTCATCACTGTACCCTGTATGCCAAGGCAGGTCTGCCTTCACTAACTGTACGGAGGCTCAGTCATTGGTACATGTTCATTTACAAAGCCATGTTGGGTAAACTACCTTTTTATATCTGCTCTCTGATCTCTCGATGAATTGAAAGTACATATTGCCTGAGATCTCATGATGTTGTTTTATTAAATGTGCCAAGTGCTAGGACTGTCTTAGGGAAGAAAGCTTTTAGTTGTGCAGCTCCACTAAATTGGAACAGTCTGCAAACATGTTTAAAACTGAGCACTTTGGTTCCCCTGCATCATTTTAAAACTCGGCTGGGTGACATGCTGTTTGATACTCATGGTACCTGTCACTGTAAATAGAGTTTGTAAACTGTACCCTGTACATTATGTTGTATGTCATCCTTATTGTTGTTCTGTTGTTTTTATGTTACATGTGTAACTAATGTCCTGCAGGTCACCCTTGAAAAAGAGATCTTTTGATCTCAAGGGGCTTCACCTGGTTAAATAAAGGCTACAAACAAACGTTGTATTTTTGGTTCCTACCTTTTATGTACAACATTATTAGAGGCGGAACTAATCTGCTGTGTTTTGTGTTACACCTGTTTAATCGACGCACTGGATAGTTGCAACGGCAGAGCAACGCAGGACGTTAAAGGAAAACTAAGGAAACCAAGGGAAAATGCATATAAAGTTATCAGCCCCTCTAGGTGACTAGCAGCCTACGAGGTACGTTTTCGTGCTGGTTGTTTGTGTAATTGTGTGCGGTTGAGCTGCAGGTTTGTGTATGTATGCTATGCGCTAGCTTGTGCTACATGCTATTGTTAGCTTGTGCTACTTGCTGTGTGGGATATGTGCGCCGTTTATTGTATAATTGGCGGCATTAACAGTGATGACATATGCATATATTACATATTTATTTATTGTTTACCTTTTATATATTTGTTGTCTTACAACCCAGTTCTCACGGGTTGGAATAGGTCCCACAAGAATAAACCCCGTATTTAATCAAGACCTCAGCCTCGTGTCATTTACTGGAGGGAGCTACAGTGGGAACACGAGGAGAAGGCGCATTATTGTGTGTGTGTGTGTGTGTGTGTGTGTGTGTGTGTCATTTGTTTTGAGAACATATTATGATAGTGACGTTCGTTCCGGTGCACGTCCGACAGCATTTAGCACTACATCGAGATTAAGATTAAACTAATTTATTTTGGGAACACCCGCATATAGGCTACCTATGGAGTTAGCCAGATGTGTGTAAATTACTGTTCATGGTCATTTGAAAACAAATGCCGGTGTCGGACAGACACAAACACAGAGCTGAGCAGAGCATACACACACACACATCATGCGCCTTGGTGACTGGACATCTCCTTCATAAAACTAATAAAAGGGGGAGTAATCGGGCAGTTCGATGTGTGTGTGGTTAACACGTAGCGGCCTGCAGTCACTCGCTGTTTTGATGAAGTTAAACACAGCGAAGGCGGTGCGTAAAAAGGCACAGCTCTCGGCGCACTGGTGCTGCACTTCTCAGAGGCGGAGTTACACGTCCCGCTGCCTCCTGATGCTGCAGCCATTTCATGAAGTGAAGGAGGTTTTCCTTCTATAAAACAGGTGCGGGCAGGCAGCAGATACCGTGAGAGTCCCGGACATGAATTCATAGATCAAGGCAGACTGGTTTACTCTCCTGTTTTGCCAATCCGGTGCTTAAACAAAGGCAAGGCAAGGCAAGTTTATTTATAGCACTTTTCAACACAAGGCAATTCAAAATGCTTTACAAAAAATGAAAGACATTAAGAAAATGGCTTTTAAAATCAGTCATTAAAAAGAAAAGCTAATAAAATAAACGTATAGCTCTACACCCCTGGCCGACATGTCCTTAAAATGAAGTCCGAGTTTGAAATATATCTCAAATAATGTATGCACTGCCATTTCCCCACATAAACATAGCAGTCTGCAATTACACGGTTGTCTCCTGTACCCTCCTCTTCTTACTTGGCGCACCGGTAACTTTCTCGTGCGCACAATGATGAAATAATATGACTGGTATTGGTGCGAACATTAAACACTTTTTTAAAAAAATATTATTTTAAAATATTTTTATATATTTATAATTCTGCAAATATTACGATAAACTCACAGCTATTTCGCGGCCCGGCAGTAACACCTCCGCGGCCCGGTACCGGTCCGCGGACCGGGGGTTGGGAACCCCTGCTCTAAATAATATCTGACAGATTCCTGTGAAAAAGAAAGCACACTGAAAGAAAGTTGGCAGAGACTCTGACGCTGCAGAGCTGCTCATTAAGAGGAAACGGTGATAATGCTGCATCTCTCCCACAGAGCATTGGCTCTAGGAACATAATTAATGTCACTCAGGCACAGGGCCACTTGCACACAATAGAGTCTAGACCAGGAGGGGGCATGCTGACTGACCCAATAATCTACTTCCCTATCTAGATTCTGCAGCTATGAATGATGGTATGCATGCAGGTTGGTATGTATGTGAACGACTGGAGTGATAAAACAAACAAAAAAACGTCTGTCTTTGCAGAACTATCCAACATGACTCCTGAATCTAAACACAAAGGGGGAGATGTAGACTACAGATAGTCACAGCAGACTGAATAAATGGATTCTGTCCTTGGAGAAGAATCTTCGTAGTGCATCAAAAGTGAAAATAATGCAATGTGAGTGACAATGAAACCTAACAAATGTAAAAAAACGATGGATTATGAATAATTTTCCTACGGAAATTAGAACAAACACGACTGGAACTGTTTGCATTAGACATTACACATGTAAACCCTACGAAATTAGGAAGTAACTGTGACTATTACTTCTAACCGGTAAAGGAACCCGTAGTTTCTTGATATATTTGAGGAAGTTGTTGCACATGCAAACTTCCGCCAATACTTACATCTCCTTAGTCACAAAAACGTAGGGTGTTATAGCAAATCATTTGTCTCTTATATCAAGATATATCTTAAAGGTCATAAAGCAAACAACATGTAATTCTGTCACATACATGCTAATGTTACATTCAGGTTGAGTCAGTTCTCCAGTAAAAGTCAGACAGTAAAATGTGGCAGTCAAAGGGTTAAACAAGGACTCCTAAAAATAAGGATCTAAAACTGCAAGTGTTCTTCAGAAAATGACATCTATCCACTGTGGCTGCAGCAGTAGTCAGCCCTCACACCATCAGAATGAAGACACTAGCTCCACCTGGAGGACAACTACATGCATGTTAACTGTAGCCATGCTTCTTTCTTATATGTTTACTCTGTCAATGCAGCAGTGCAACTGTATTTAATACATTCTATATTGTAAGAGGGTTCCAATAATCTCCCTTTACTTTCTAGAAGCTTTTTCTAAAAGTTCATATGTTTTATTTCATTACCTGCAGCATTTTAAATAGAAACAGATAGAAAACCTAGCATAACATCAATCTTTACAGCTACATCGTATCATTTCCTGCTGGTTTAATAAACACTCTTTAGTCTCACTGGGACCTTTAGAGGAGACAAGGATGCTTCATTCTCGGGCATAAAAGTAAAACACTGTACAGCACCTTGTGGATCCATCATTACTATCATATTTAATAATTTCAGGTGCAGAAAAACACTTAGAAGGGAACCTAAAATAGCACATTAACATCTCCCATCTTCCCCTCTGTGACCAATGTTAAAGCTTCATGTTATCATTACCATATCAGCAGTAGAAAGTATATTCTTCAATATGTACTTGAATCTAATAAACAAGTCAGATGCCCCATTAAGAGGTCACATGATCACACCTGATGCTTGGATAGGAAACGCCTCCTTACCCTTTAACTACCAGACCAAGAATAAAGCTATGAAAAAAAATTATGTGTTTGCATTTTTTATACAAAAAGACACAAATAACTACAAACAATTTTTTATTTTGGTAACTGACCACACAGTTTTGTTTTTATGAGCCTCAACCAACTGGTCGAGCTGGCCTTTAAAAGTGCATTTTCATCAATCATCATATAGGCTACAGTACAGTATTTGTATGCATCAAACGCAAATAAAACACAAACTGAAATAAAAAAAAATATTTTATGGAAAATAAGCAATATATACAACCAGATATATTAATAAAAGATAATAAATTATAATTGTAAAAAAAAAAATATGGAAAAAAGTAATGTTAAAGGTGGGGTAGGTCATTTTGGAGAAACCAGCTCGAGTGCGCTAGAATTTGAAAATACACAACCGGAAAAAATCTGCCACTTCCTTACAGAGCCCCTCCTCCAACACACACGAACGCGCACATGACCAATGAGGGCACAAGATAAGTTTGTGCACAGATGGAAGGCTGACAGGCTGGTAGGCCCGGGTAGGCCATCCAGTTATTTTAGCCGGGCCGGTGTCATTACCATATGTGCTCGGGGTACCGGTGCCAGATCTGCTCGGGGTCCGTTACGCTTACCAATGACGTCACGCATTGGCTGTACGGCAACCAAAGAGGTAATAATAATAATTCTAAATAAAACAGGAAGTTAACCTAAATTACATTTAAGACACTGCAACGAAAGTAACAAAAACAATGTAATATCCTTTTCCGTTTCACAGAACACAAATTGGGTTATTTACATAATTATGTTTACACTGGTGACATTTACGGGACACAATTCACTGGGTTATATAGGCCCTTTCTCATTTCATCAAATCCCCCTCCTCGGCTCCTCGGTCCTCCGGTAGTGACCCGGAAATGAATTTCAGCGCGCCATGTTGAAGGACATCTAATTTCTCTAAATGCACTTCGAGGATCGAGCGTCGAGGAGGCTCTCTGGAGGAGCTATAACCGAGGATACACTGATGGGTCCTCCACGGCTCCTTCGTGGATGCATTTCCGGGAACAGAGATGTTTCAAAGAGTCGTGACGCACGGCCGGACTTATCTCAGCCAATGACAGCTCTGCATGCATCCCCTGGATATTATTTTATTAACTGCTCTCATCTCAACGCGATGTTTCCAGAGAGAACAGCTGTGAGGTCCGTGCAGAAAGCAGAGCAGTGTGTAAAATATATATCACTCAGTATAACAGGCCTACTCTTTATTTGCTTTAGTTTAGTAGATATCTACAAACAAAGAGTCGATATTTTTCTAAAACCATTTAGTGCTTCACATAATAAAATACACAACGGCTGTTACGGCCCGTCTACACTACAGGCGTCAAAAAATGCTTTCAAGCATCGCGAGCGTCTATCGGCGTCAAAAGTTGAACAATGTTCAACTTTTGAGTTGAACAATGTTCAACTTTTGAGGCTCGATGCTTGCTCGAAGCTGGCGTCAGCCAATGAAATCCCGTTTATGCAAATCTGCCAGTACAAGCGCTAGCCCAGGGGTGGCCAACCCGCGGCTCTCGAGCCGCATGCGGCTCTTTGCCTAGTTTCATGCGGCTCTTCAGTTCATATCAAATTGTATATGTGTGAGTTTGGGGGAGAGACACTGACTCCTGACTAGTGTTGCACGGTGTACCGATACTTGAAAGGTATACCGCGATACCCTGCCGTTAAAAACGTTACGATTCCTCCGTTTCATTAGTATCGGTACTTTAAGAATGACGGGGGAAAGTACTCCGGTGAGAAAGCGCCGTTCAGCACTCTGCTTCCACTCCCTGCACTGCAGCCGTGCCTGCAGTCCCTCCCTCTCAAGCAAGCTCTAAGTGCCTCCCCTCTCTCGTGCACGCGCTAGCTGCCAGAGCATGTGAGAAAACGAGAAGCATGGCTGCAAGTGGGAGTGCAACTGCCGCTGCGCCTCGGCTTGTTGACAAAAAAGACGCCAGAAGCAACATTTTGATGTATTTGAACTATATCTCTGACAGTGAGGGCAAGCCTACGGACACCACGAGGCCTGTCTGTAAGACATGTATTCATTTTATTTAATACGAATTCTTGTCATTTATTTTATTTATTGTTCTCATTGTTTAAAAGTGTGTGTTATGGTTATGGTTCTGGTGTGAAATAAAGCACAATAATTACATTTAAG